GATCGCTCGCGTGGCTGCATTCTGGACCAGCTGGAGTCTTCGAACACTCTTCAAGGGCAGCCCCATGTAGAGCGTGTTACAGTAATCCAGTCTTGAGGTCACAGTTCTTGGGAATATTATAGGATGCATGCTGTGCTCACCTGAGGTCTCTTGTACAGTGCTCAGCAGCCATCTTGTCAAACATGAGAGTTATCTGGGTATTGACTTATGTTGCCCTCCAAGTGATTTATTGTCCAGTGACAGTTTGATGAATGAGGGAAAGATGGCTTACAAAGGATGCAATTGCTTTGGCAGGGGATCCCAGTCAGTCCCCTTTACCCAACTTTCTAGGTCTATGATCATTCTTTTCAAACCTATATATTTCTGCTATTTATGAAACAATTTAGATGATGCAATTACATACACTGATGCATTTTTCTGCATTTTAATATGTAATGAAGCAAACAATCGATTGTTCCCTTTCAGAGTTTCCCGGTTGAAGCATCAAGTAAAGTTTCATCTGTAGTCATTGATTCAAAAAATGTATTACAGTCTTTCCTGATCTGGTGTTCTAGGGATGTGTTAGACTGTGATTCCCATCATCCCAGTAAATCTGGCTGATATTATCAATGTTTTCATTGATGGCTTTTAATTGGTAGAGTAGCTTACTTTGATTTTCTTTGTCTCCTATCCTTATTTTTTTAATGTAAGATATAAATGTTGGTTTTTCATAGGTTGTCTCAGAGCAAACTTTTATTTCTGATTTTCTCTGTTTTTGCTTTTTGAGGAAAGAGGAGTGGTCAGAGAGACCTTTTTAGTTTGACAGTGGAGACATTTTGCCATTTTATTTTCTGCATTTCTTGTTTTTTAATGATGACCTTTCCTTATTCTTCTCTTGCAGATGAACTCACAGTGCCTGCACTTTACCCCAGTAGCCCTGAAGTGTGGGCACCGTACCCTCTCTACCCAGCGGAGTTAGCACCTGCTCTACCTCCGCCTGCTTTCACCTACCCTGCTTCACTGCATGCCCAGGTAATTTATGTCAATCAGTCACATCTTCACCCACGTTATTCCTTGATCCTCTTCAGAGCTCACCATACAACTAACACTTGTCTGCCTAATAGGGTCACAAGAGCAAAATTAATGATCACTCCTCAAACAAACTGACCCATCCTCTAGGGATCACTGGAGTCATCCTTGGTAAAATGGCAGCACCCTTCTGCCTGATAGAACACCTTTCTCTTCCTGAGCAATTTCACCTCCATTCACTTCAGGCAAATAGAAATATCTGCTGGGTCTTTGTATGCATATATATTTTCACATATATATTTTTTCACATATATATGGACTGTGCTCCCCAGACTTGCCTTTCAATGGTTTTAACTTCCAAGGTTCACAGGTCTTGAAGTAGATCCAGGCAAAGTATGTAAGAGTATACTTATAAATACATGTGTACCTTTACCTTAAGAAGACACATGGAAGCAAAACAATACCCAATGGCAGGGGAAATGTACATGTAATGATGATGAGTGGTAAGTTGGGAAAATCTCCAACAGCAAATTTTTTAATAACAATTACACCATTATCCCTATTGAAATATCACTGTCCCCAATCAGTAGTAATTTAGATGCAGCTCATCCTAGTGTGTGCATCTTAGTTGCAGTGGAAAACCATATCCATCATTAAAGTCACCATTTTGTCTCAGTAGCCGTGGTAGTGGGCTTTAAACTGGCTGCTTCTGAAGATATTCTAATCCTAACGAAGTGAGTATTTATAGCCATTTGCCAAGTGAAAATGTGCTTGTAATTATTTGCTATTCTAGTTGTTTGTGTACTTTCTAGTGATGAGTAAAATGTTGAATAGATGCTTGGCAAAGATGATGATCTACATAAACATTAATGAACTGAAATATTAGGACTGAACAAAAATGGATTTAGACTGCTTTTAGGTTTACAATTGTGTGAAAGCAAATATAGGTAGTCCTCAGTGCTTTGTCTAGTGACTGTTCACCATTAGGATGAAAATTGATGAAAAAGTACTACAACTTTACTACCAATCTTCACATTATGCCCTTTGCAGATCTGTAAAGCAAAGGGAAACTGAAGTAAGATCATAAGCACAGTCATTGTTTCACTTTCAGATCGCTTTGCTTAACAACTGAGTTGCCGTCCCACTTATAATGCTAAACAAGGACTGTCTGTATACTCTTTTAATTCTGTGATAGTTAATTAATTCTTAATTGTTTGGGGTGATAAGGAGGGCCTTCTATCTGATTCTGATGCATTAGAGTTGTTTTTTTTTGAGAAATATTGATTTGGCATGATGGGAGATGCAATGTCCCTATGATTCTGAGATTTTGTGGGGCAATGTCTAGATTGAATATCTCTGCATGTTTTAAATAAAACTACTAAATAGAGCTACCTTTGCATGAATATCTGAAAGCTTCAGCTGTCCCAAAGTACACCTTGCAAACTGCTACAAAAGTGGAAGCAGAAGTGGCATGATTTTTGTAAGAGTAGCAGTAGTTGTCCATGTGTCAGAATGCTGGTATTGAGTTCTACAGTGCCAGGGCTTAGTTTATTTGAAGTTTTGCAAAGAAAGCCTCTCCTACTGCACGAGGGAGGAAGCAAATCTGCACATCCGGCATGTTCTGTGAAACTATTGGGAGAGGCACGGGGCCATGGCCAACCTCTCTGCCTCTTTGACATTCCTTGAGCCTTAAGAAAACTTAGGAAGATCGGCCTGTTTAGGTGACCTTTTTGTTTCTCTAAAGCAGCAGAAGATTGGATTTCTGTGATAGTTGCGGTGTGTTTGTTGTGGGCATCCCTTAACTGTAAGCTGCTTTAAGGGCCTGATTGAGTTGAGTAAGCTAGTCACCCTACACAAGGGGAAGATATTGGTTTCAGTCTGTTTGCAGGCAGAAATCAAAGCAACAGCAAGAAGGAAGTTTCTCTGCCATTTTGCTAAGTCAGTCTTTGTAGCCCCTTCCTTGTAAGGATTTTATTGCCCTTTGGTAAATTTACCCTTGATAAATGGTTAGTTGAATCCAACAATCATATATAATGCATTAACTTAAGAATTACACTTCTTAGATGGGGAGACAGATTGCTTTTGGGGGATTTCCAGAGGTATGACTGGAAATTTGAAAAGGTCTGTTGGAGGCAACCACAGAATGTTTGTCATGTTCAGCATGGCAACTCATGAAATACAAATAAATTTGAAAATTGACATGTCCCACAGGGTGCTCTTTACCATGCTAATGTAATGAGGGAGGGGACAGGGAGGAATTGAGCAAAGGTGTTTCTTCAAAAATATAACAAGAATAGAGGCTGGCATGTTGCTTTGTTTTGCAATGGGGCAGCTTCATAATTCATTTTTATTAAAAGAATCATTTTAAAGAGTCAGATGGTGCAATATGTTCAGTGGATAACAATATTCACACTGGTCCAACATCCAGAGACATTGGACATTTGGGCTGCTTTTGTTATATGAAACCAAATACTGTTCTCCATGAAAGAATGCTAACTAAATCTAAGCTAGATAATGATCATATTTCTTCTGGTATCCAGGGCGGCTTCTCATTTTTCAATCTAATGAAAATTCTGTTTTCTGTATCATAAACTCTTTTATGCTGCAGGTACAAAGGCCAGGTTCAGAAAGGCACATCTCTTTTATACAAGTCAACCATGCAAATATCATTGAGTGTTTCCTGTAATCCAGGTAGACGTTCTCTCTTAGGAATGTTAAACAGTCTGAAAATATCCAGCACTAAGTGTTTAAGTGAAGCGAGGTGGACTGGATGGGAAAGCTCTCATGTGCTCTTTTGAGCAAACTGGGAAAAGCATGGAAAGCACACATGCTAGAAACTGAAGTTTTGCCATGTTAGCTTAATCTGTCAAGTAATACTATTGATTAATTGAATCATAGGTTAGGGTAAGGGTTGTGTGATAATATGTTTGCTTTGTATGTTGAAAACTCCAGTAATCAATATCTGACATCTCAGCTATGAATATTCCAGGAATGACTTCAAGTTCATAAATCCACATAATTAGATTTCCTACTCTGTTCTTTAGGTACTAGAATTTGAGAATCATAGAAATTCTTGGAGAGGCAGCCTCTTCACTAGGTTTTCTCTTAAAAACAGTTGATTAATATGTCAATTCTGTTTGGCTAATATTTTATTTTTCATGTTCTCAAAAAGTGATTGAAGATTGACTTTTTTTTTTACTACATCTCCTTGTGGTGTGCCAGCCCCCTACCGACTACATTCCCAGTTTTTAGTTTCCTAGGAGGCATAGAATTATTCCTTTCTGGCATTGGGATCCTTGTTAATCTGAATCAATTCATTTCACAACTGAGATCTATCTTTTCTGGGGGGAGAGGGGGCGAATGGACCAGCTGATGTTATAGGCTGGTACTTGGTTGTTATAATGATATAATGAAACTACTAACTATTTTGCTATTCAATATCCATACTTTCTATACAATCAGAGCTCTCAAAGCAATTTACAATTGATAAAATTCCACATGCAAAAATAAAAATCTGACATCATCACTTAAAACCAATACAAATATTAATAATTAAATGCCTGGCAAAAGAGATCCATCTTGACTGCTGTGAAAATGTCAGGAGCTTATGTAGTCTCCAAGGCATCTTCAGAAAGACCCATCCTGCAGATTGCCTGTATTGTTTTATTTCTTACAGGTTTAGTTAAATTTTGAAAAGAGGACCACTGTTTTTATCTTTTTACTACCTATGAAGTCATTACGGCATCTTTCCTGGGAAATACCTTGAGGCATACAGGATGCTTGACATGTATTCTTCTTAAATATTTCACAGTTAACATAGTGCTATTATTAAATAAAAAGTAAAACACATAGAGTGTGTTAATGTTTCTTAGCAAATGCATTTTTGCCAATATTGCCCCTAAAAGATATTGTCTGAAGACTTGTGGAAAATGATTGAGAATACAAACCATGAACTTGAGGAAAACAATTTGTGACAGGACAGGAAAAGGGGAATTAGGTTGGAATGGAAAACTATCTTTTATTCACGAGTTACAACAGGGCAGATTGCATGTGAAAATCTCCAAATCCATCTGGCCGAGTGGGAGATCACCGTGCCCAGTAATGTACTATATGTTCTGTCACAAACACTTTTCCTGCTCCTTGAATCTTACTGCCTGAAACTCCTAATGTTTTCTGAAAGCTGGTGTAATCTACTTAAAAATTAACCAACAAAGGGGGAAAGTAATGAAACATGGATGGCTTTAATCACTGGGGACTGCCTGGGGAGCATGTCTGGTCTGTAATCCTGCATGCTTGGATGCTCCTTTGTAGCCAAGAACATTCAGCAAGTTTAGAAGAAATTAGTGTGAGTTTTTGTTGGAAATCTTGTTGGCTCACAACCTTCTGCTGGTTGGGATTGCCCAAATGTTCCTGAAGACACAAGGAGATACTTGAGGTGCAGGTTTCCAGATAATGTAATGCTGATTAGCTTTGTGGAATTAGCTTGAGGAATTTAGGGGACAGATGTGCTTGTCTGTGTTGTCTTTGCTCAGGAGAGCTGTCATGGTTCAGTGTCCTTATCCATTTTCTTGGAAATGGTGTTAGCAGCCCATGGGACTCCTTTTTGTTTCTCTTTACATGGGGCTGTCCTTCCATGAAGACACATTATTTAAGATTTAAAATCTTACCTAATACAAAGGTCTGTTAATGTTTGGAATGTTTGGAATGTTTATTTAATTTGTATGCCACCCCACTCCCGAGGGACTCGGGGCGGCTAACAACCAAAAGGGGGAAGGCAAGACAAAGACAAAAGACAAACAAAGTAAAAACAACAGCAGTCACAACGTTTCAAGTGGGGCTGGGAATTCTTCAGCCCCAGGCCTGCCAGAACAACCGGGTCTTCGTGGCTTTGCGGAAAGCCTGGAGAGTGGTGAGGTCCGGATCTCCACGGGGAGATCGTTCCAGAGGGCTGGAGCAGCCACAGAGAAGGCCCTCCCCTGGGGATTTGCCAGTCGG